TTAAAAGTATTTTAAATGTAATTGAAATACTTTCTGAATGGATTTACTTATTTGTATCTGTATTTAAATACAATTTTAAAAGCATAGTTTACAAGACTGTCAAATAGATACTTAATTTAAAAATTATTCTAAATACTTTCTGAATGGATGTATTTGTATCTGTATTTAAATACATATACTCAACAACTTTTTAAAACTGATTTGTTTATAAATCATATCAATCTAATTATTTACCCAAGTACTACCTATTACCTATCTAATAAATAGCCTACTAACTTTGGGTATAATCTGCCTACATAATTTAGTAAACGTTCTTAGTTCGTTGAAGAAATTATTTTCTCAAGTTTAAAGAACGATTCATTATTCTCCATAAAAATTGAAAATGGATTGAAAAAAGAGGACACATCATTTCGAAAATCTATTTCACCTACAGAAAAACTATCTGTGTGTTTACGGTAAGTAAATACTTCAACCTAAATTTTAATATTATTTATTTTTGTATGTTTTAACGTGCCTTATTTACATATTTTAACATATGTACATAATTTTAAAAACAATGTAGTTAATAACTATATAATTTATATATGTAGTTATCATAAAAATTAAAAAAAAAAAACATATCAAGTTAGAAATAATGCATTTATATTTTGGAACATAAGGAACAATACATGTTATTGTTATAATTATACTCGTACTTTAATAATAAAAATATTAAATTTATATAAATTATGATTGATGGTTTTGAGTATTTGGATTATAACTACTTAGGTAAGATTGAACACTATCAACAGAAGAGGGTCGAGAAGTAGATTGGTTGCTAGTTTCTTCGTGACAAGGATTGGTTGCCTGCAGATAGGATGACTGTTGAGGAACAAACTGTTGTTGAGTGTTTGACTGTTGAGGAACAAACTGTTGTTGAGTATTCGACTGTTGAGAAACAAACTGTAGATGAGTGTTTGATTGCAAATCGAAAAACTGTTCTTGATTGGTTTGCGGAAATGAGGTGAATCTATATTGTCTATTTTGAGAATGTTGTTCGAACGATCGCTGGGGTTGTTGTTCACCTACATACTTCCCTTCTATATCAGTTACGATATTAAATATTTTCCGTTTGACTTGCAATTTATCTGCAACAGTAAATTTCTTGACCGTCTTCTTCATCGTGTCAAAAAAAAGATCAATTTCATATACTTCTTTCTCCTTTTTTTCTGAGTTTATCAAGTGCTTCATGAGTGTACTACTTGCCGTCTCTGTTGGAGGTAATTTTCTTTTACCGCCCAGATTGGATTTCCAGGCCCCATGACTCTCATTTGTGGTTGGTGACTTATTATTAGGATTTTGAGATGCAAACTGAGGTGTTGGCTCGTTCGATTCCAGTGGTATCTCATCTTCATCATCTAGTGTCTCTTCTGAATATTGTACGGAAGATATTCTTTGCTTATCTTTCATATGGGGATGAAGGAATGCCATATGTTCACTATACTTCCATGATGAGTGTGAGCCACCGGGATCACCTGTTTTTGGCTTTTGGTTGCGCATAAATTTTCGGTATTGAGAGCGCAGAGACTCCCAGCGTAGTTTGCATTTTACAGCATCTAAAACGACCAAATAAATAATGTTTTTAAGAGACTAGAAAAAATGTCTGGACTCAAAATAAATGATTTTTTTTTAGGTCAAAAAAAATTTTGTATTATTATTTTAATTTTATATAAATTTTATTATTTTTTAAATTCTGACGTATGTAGTGAAATGAGTTGGTACACTTTTTGTTTTCAGATATCTAGCAACAGGTGATTCTCTTCAGACAATCGCCTTCAGTTTCCGCATGGGACATTCAACAGTCCATTCGATTGTGCACGGTGTATGTGATTCAATAATTAATCAATTATTTTCCAAGTACATTCCAACACCTAATAAAGAACAATGGGAAGAAATTGCTAAAAAATTTTGGTCTGCATGGAATTTCCCAAATTGCATCGGGGCCTTGGATGGGAAACATGTGCAAATAACTGCTCCTGCCAATAGTGGGTCCAACTATTTCAACTACAAGAGAACATTTTCTGTAGTTTTACTTGCACTGGTAGATGCTGACTATAGATTTATTTCAGTAGATATTGGATCATTTGGAAAGAATAGCGATGGAGGCATTTTCGCTAATTCACAACTAGGGAAAGCATTGAGCAATGGTACGCTAGATGTTCCTGGAAGCAAACAATTGCCAGGATCTTGTGTTTCTACACCTCATGTTATTATCGCAGATTCTGCTTTTCCGCTCAAAACATACATGATGCGACCGTACCCTCAATCTCGACAAGATTTAACCGTAAACAAAAAAATTTATAATTACAGACATTGCCGCGGAAGACGTGTAGTAGAAAATGCATTCGGTATATTAGCCCAACGGTTTCGAATTTATTTTAGAACGATTGTTTCCAAACCAGGTTACATAGAGAACATAATTTTAGTGACCTGCATTTTGCACAATTTTTTACGCAATAATAGAATGTCATTATTGGAAAATGATTCTTGTAATGATTCTCCTGATCAAACTACTATTTTTAACAATTTACCATCAATTGGTATTAATGCCCAAACTGCAGCATTCGATGTCAGAGAAAAGTTTACCGACTATTTTAATTCCAAAGAAGGATCAGTGGACTGGCAATACAGATGTATTTGAAAAAAAATGTACATATATATTTAATATACATTTTTTAGATTAAAATTAGTGTAGGGAAGTTTAGTTTTGTAATTTGTATGTACCTACTTAAAAAAATAAAATAGTATGTAATTTTTCAATATTGATTTTATCGTTTGATATTTATTTATAAATATTATTAACTTCTTATTTGTTTATAATATATATTTTTTCATGTAATTAATATTTTATTATAAAAACAATTATTTATTCGTAAATTATAAAGTATTAATTTTGGAATAATTCATATGATAACATAGGACATAGGTATATTATAATATACCCTAGTATATTTTCAAATCAGAATATCAGATTCATAAATATTATAAAATAATAAAAATAAAAATAAATATTAAAATTAACCTTACCTTGTTGGATTTTTTCCCCAATTTCTTTCCACAAATTGTTTTTAAAAGTTGTATCACTATATTTACGATGTGAAAAATCGTACAGCTCACTATTTTCACGCACTAATTCTATGAAAAATTCATCATCCATTTTGGAGAATTTTTTGTAGTATAATGTTTTAATTACCTATTTAACTATACTATTTTGACGACACATGTGACTGTCAACTGATTGTATTTGATTCACACTTGGCAGTCACGATCAAAAAGCTCGTGATCGCGGCGGTCTTGATCGTGCATCGACCGGTCGAGACTTGTCCGAACCTGACCGTGATTTGACCGTGACCGATAGTGTGTACGATGCCGTTGGATTACTTACTACCGATTTTGACCTGACCGCGACCGGACCGAACCGAGACCGCTAGTGTGAATAGACCTTTAACCATATACGGCAATGACGCCCTGAGAGCGTTCGACGGATTTGAACCTGGGACCTACGTGTTTCCTACCTAACGCCTAACCTACTCGGACACAATTTGAGATGTGAAATACGGTCAAAACATCAACACTTAAGCTGTGCGTCTACGGAGCGACGTAAGCCAATATATTCGATGTACATCGATGTAATCGCATAGAATTCGCTTGTAATACGCGCATCTCCCATATATATATTTAACGGAGCCCGTGAAAAGCGTTTTCCGTTAATAATTATTAAATCAATTGGCAAAAATTAAATTATACACGTATATACATGTACCTATATATACGCGTACGGTCGGTCGGTCGCCGGCCTCATTTCTAAACGCGATTGCGAAGCGAACCGACCGATTTCATAAGAAAAGCGTATATATACGGCTTTAGAAAGACGTCAACTACACGATTCAGGCACGAACGGCGTGCGAAAAGACGAAACTGTCGGAGAAAACGAAAAAAATTGGGAAAAAAGTCCGGCCGGGAGCGTACATTGCGACGGCTACGGACGGCGCACGGATATAAACCGCCCACCGGCGTTTTCGAGAGATCGCGAGCTACGTGAATCGAGTATAAAAAAGTGCGAAAAACGATAGAAAACAGTCGAAATCGTGTGAAAAGAGTAAATTTTCGTAAATTTCAAAAATCGGCGAAATGATAAGATAAGAAGTGATAACGCGGGGCCGCGGCGACGGAATTTTCTCATTGGCGTTCCTTTTTTGCAGCGTCGCGCCTGTCGGACAAAACAGGAGACTAACCTCGTTTTATAATATAAGAGACTAGATTCTGGCGTTTGTTGATCCGGCCTGCGGCGGGAAAGCGGGGTCGTCGGGTAATGTGTTTTCTCGTGTTGGCAGCACTGGTTAAGCGGTAATTTTTTAACTTGGAAGAGTGTCTAGTCGTAAATCAGGCGATTCAAGTCGATCGTACGACACAGCCAGCCAGGTAGGCCATCCGAGGATCGCAGACGACGCCCCGGGCGTGTATGTCCGGTTCTGGAGTGTGTGTGTTGAAATCGGAAATTCGGATTCTGAGTTTGAGTGTCTAGCTATCAGTCATCTCGGGTGAAAGTCGATTCCCGAACGGACAATCCGCCTACAGCGAAAAGTGCTCAAAACGGCCGTTCAAATCTGAAAAAGCATACAGGAGGTAACAAAATTGTAATTTTTGATAATTATAGAGAACAGTTATCAGGTGTTTTATGTTAGGCTTCATTGTAATCAATGTAATCATTGTTATGTTTTCACGGTTATAACAAATAAGTCGACAAAATCTAATTTTCTGATTGGCTGCTATTTTTATCTCGTCAAGAGACACCTAATGCATTGCCAGCTGCATGTTGTTTGGTTTTTATCAATCATTTCTCAAAACATCCTTTAAGTGAGTACACGTCGGTTATAGTATTAAAATAATATTTCTTAGGTTATGTATCGAACAATTTCATACCTATTTGAATAAAACAATTTTTTTTTTTTAAATCTAGCATGCCGAAAGACACCGTTAGCCACCATTACAACGGCCGTGGTATGCGGGTGTATAATGTACCCGTGTACCACAATGCTGTGCCCGTGCGCCGTTCGGGAGGAAACGCCCGACGTAAGTACCTAATAAAAAAAAGCACATGCGTATTGCATAAGCCAAGTATAACACTAAACATGATTTGTACGTTTCAGGATGTTACAGATGCCAACAGGTGGGTCACTTAGCGAGGAATTGTGGTAAGTTTGTCCTATTATTTATTTTTTCACGTGCTAAGCTTTTGTACATTTTATCAGACTCCCCCTCCGTGGTACCTGCGGCATCGTCGGGCGCGTCCTCGTCGGTTGTTAGACCACGGCAGGGGCCGCAGCAACAACAACTTTGTTTTAAATATTTTCAAATTGTTACATTTAACTACTTTTTTAATTGTTATCTAGTTTCATGTATTTTATTTTACTTGTACTGTTACCTAGGGAGGTTATAAGTACCTATTATGTTTTTTTTTATTATTTTATATTAAATCATATGTTACATATATTAATTCTTCTGTCTTTATAATATTATAAAAAGCAACTTAACAATATGATAACTGCATCATTACCTCCGATTGTGTATGTGCAGTTACGATGTACCTATCTGGTTATTAACATTGTCGTCGAAGATTATGTTAGCATCTACTTCATCAGATAAGTACTCCGGGACTTTTTTCTCTCTGCTACATTACACTGGACAGGTTAGCAGTGTTTATCCGGTCTAACAAACTACGGTTAGCCACCAAGTCCTCATAAAAATCTTCCGTATCAACATGATACACTAGTGCATCTGTAATAATGATATTAAATTAATATATTAACTTTTTTCAGTATACATGAGTTTAATTTTGTCCCCATTGTGTTTCTGCATAACATTATAGTGGTAATCGTACATTTTTGTTTTTGATATATCAGTCGACATTTATCATGAAACTTTTGCATGTCGTTGATATCAGGCCCTATTCTAGCGAATTCATATAATAACTGCATCAGGACCTCCGATTGTGTGTACGCAGTTACGATAAATGTATACGTCAAAGTAGGCAGTTGCTATTGGCGACGATCACCGGATCACCACTAGCGCTCCAAAGACGGACCAGCCTGCGGGGCCGCGACCGGTTTTTGTCGAGCGAGTGGGTCAATTCTCGTGGAATAGAGTATAGATCTACTTATAATTTAAATTTTATTTATACCTAGCAGAAAATACTAGTTATTATTACAGTTTACACAAAAATATGTGGTATAATTGCAGTTTAGCTACCACGAGATTTTTTCAAATTTTTTTTTCGAAACCTAGGTAAATCAACGTTTTAAAAATGATGGTGTCAAAAAAAAATTACGCAAACTCTTAGTTTTTGAGTTATAACTGTTAGAAATTCAAAAATTCCCAAATATTGCATTTTGAATTTTGAATTTTTTTTGTGGTACACTTATGTATTTTGACTATTTAAAAACGATGGTGCAATCAGAATTTGTCGATCGAATTGAGTTTGAAAGTTATAGCGGTTTTAAGTTAAAAATTTTGGATTTTTAAAGAAAAATTTTTTTTGTTGAACCAAGTCGCCAAGTGAGGTAGTTGCGCCTTACCTGCTCCGGTTATATTTTTCAGATATATAATTTCTCTGAATCCAAATATCGTAATTATAAATGTTTCTGTAATTGGCAAAAAACAACTTTGTTTAATTCCGAGGTTCACCTGAGGTGGTTTTACACAACAAATCGGGGGATATTTTCGATTTGCGGAGCGGAGCGACGGCGCCGAGGAGCGTAGCGACGAGTGCCAATACACTCGTGATCTCTGCAACTTTTAACTTTCATAACTTAAAACCGCTATAACTTTCAAACTAAATTCGATCGACAAATTCTGATTGCACCATCGTTTTTAAATAGTCAAAATACATAAGTCTACCACAAAAAAAAATTCAAAATTTAGGAGTTTTTGAATTTCTAACAGTTATAACTCAAAAACTAAGAGTTTGCGCAATTTTTTTTTGGCACCATCATTTTTAAAACGTTGATTTACCTAGGTTTCGAAAAAAAAATTTGAAAAAATCTCGTGGTAGCTAAACTGCAATTGTTCCGTATAAATCCGGGCCATAATTTATTAAAATATCCCTCTTCTTCTATCCAAACAATTGTTTAAAAATAATTTGTTATGTGGGACAAAAAATGTCAATATACCTACCTATACCTATTTTAAATTTTAATGATATTTTAAACTGTCCTGTCCACCGATACATTTTTCCTCCTAAAATAACTAATATGGTGATTAAATTGATGGCAAGTACATCATTATTGAACAGATGTGAATCGTATCTTACAGGGTAAACGAAAGATTCAATAGTGTGAAACCGACATTACATTGTCAAATTGTTTTACCTACATTACTCCTGACAAGTCTTGTTTAGTCATTTGTTAAACACGAATTGGTTTATATTTGATGATTTTAGGAACATTTTATCTTAAGTCTGGTACTCTTATCGATTTACGATCTTAGCGATTTAGTATATCAAGTGCCTTAGAGTTGAGAGATAGCTACTTTAAAGTTTGTAGTTTATATTGAAAATTCAAAATGAATACTCAATTAGTGAAAAAAAAAAAAAATCCATGTTGATAATTTTAGGTATCGTTTTCACAAAATGTCAGCCAATGATGTCGAGCGTTGGTGTTGCACTAATAAGAAATGCAAATTTTATTTTAAGAGAAATGGTTCACTGTTATACTCTGTCAATATAACGTTGACCACTTTCGCGCACTCCACTGAGCCACCGGCAGCCGCCAGACCCACCTGGCGAGTGAGGAGCGCTGTGATCGGTCGTTAGTTGTCGACCGCTGCCGTTGCCCGTCGCTACCGACAGCCGACATCAGCGCCGACTGTGGCAACATGCTCGAATTCGACGAGTTTTCGTCGATCGAGTGGGCAAGGTTATTTTGAACAGAGTATAGAAAATGAAAGTAACCCAACGTCAGTGGCGTACATACGGGGGGGGGGGGGGGGGGGGGTTCGGGTTCAAACCCCCCCAGGACCAATAAAAAATAAAAAAAATAATGTGATATTATTGATGAATTTCTTATTATTAATCAACCGTGAATACACAAAAATACGTCATTATAATATGACTATTGAGCAAACAGTAAACATTAAACCAAACCAACAACGAAAAAAGATTTCATAACGAAATTATGGGTGCCGTATAATATGGTATATCAATCAAAATAGACATTATTTTGATCGTACACAGTCAGTTAGTTGCGTGCGGATATAAATACATATTAATATTGTCTTTATCTCGACCGACTCATTATAAACACACAAGACTTTGAGTTTTTTTTTTAACTCAGTTAAGTTAATATGCATACACATATAGATATAGTATATATTGTATTTTTAAGTACAGAAGTTACCTATCACATAAGTAATAAGTAATAAATAATAATAAATAAGTATTATATATTTTAGTTGTCTTTCAAACAGATATTATTTGTGTACATCATAATACGATGAGTATTGAGTAGGTATTTTTAATTTTAATGTTTAACTATCAAGGTGAATACTGTTAATAATAATTTTTAATAATAATTAATAATCTCACAAAACCGTAAACCATAAAATCAATAGGTAATTGATTTATTTTTTTTTTGTTTATTTTTAGATTTTAGTGTCGGCAAACTATATCATAATATTATGTCTATATTATTGAAATTTTGACATGGCAACAAAATAGACTCAAATAATGAAATGTAAAAAAATGAAAAACAAAATAAATTAACTTACAAATAAAAAAATTAATTCGTTAATTTAACGTTGATTAAAAAATAAATTTAGTAAATTAGTAGTTAAGTTAAAAATTATTATTATCACAGCATAATCATTATCATTCGATTTCGATATATTTTAGGTTTTGAAGGTAAAATAAATAGTAATCATGGCTGAAAAAAATCAATCGAAACTGCAATATTTTTTTTCGAAACCACCCTCAATAATGAATTCATTGTCAAATTCATTAAATGCAACTCAAACAGTTATAAGTTCCTCTAGTTCCTCATTACCATCAACTGCATCTGCAACTGATACACCTATCACTCAGTTTACATCTTCGACTACAGATATTAATCGTACATCTTCCAGTTATAATATTTTTGACATTGCACATTACACAAATAAATTGTTAACGCAAAGTGAAATAGAAGAAATTTTGAGCAAAATTTGGGTCCCTGATATTAATTACAATTTTCTTATCAAAATATCAGTAGTCGGTAAACAACAAAAAGTTTTGACGTTGAAATTTCAATATAAATGGCTAATTAACTTTCCCTGGTTGGCCTATTCAGAAGTAAACAATGGTGCGTATTGCAAATATTGTGTTGCTTTTACTAAAAATGAAGCCGGTGTTAATAACCAAAAATTGGGAGCAATTGTATTAAAAAAATATGATGATTGGAAACATGCATTGGAAGACTTTAAAAATCATTCGAATTTAGAATATAACAATCAATAGAATTTTTATTATAAATAATTAATAATATAATATTTATAATATTCTGTACTTACTATGTGCATATTAAATAATATTTAACTGCCATGAGTTACGTAAACCTTTGTATTTGTTTTACTATTTTGCCTATTAATATGTATACGTGTAATGTGTTTGATTGTTAGGAAAATGGGTAGTTGCAAAGAGAAAGTTTTGGTGCTGGTTATTTTTTTTAAACCTCCCCCAGAGCAAATTTGAATGTACGCCACTGCCCAACGTAGCCCATTGTAACGAGACGTTGTAATATCACTTTAAGGCCGGCAACATTGATGCATAGTCAAATAAACCCTAAGCAAAATAGTAATTTTTAATTCTAATATAAAATTAACTATATAGTAAATATAGTATGCAGTGTGTAACAAAAAGACTTGACAGATGAAACAACTTTTCTCTAAAAAAATATTAGTTAATAAATTTATATTAATGATAAACATATTTATCTTAGTCAAGTGTAAGTCAAATGTATTATTTAAATATTTATTCCTATAAACATATTATTGGTTGACTATAAATGTATTATTTAAATTATTTAATAATTACAAAATAATGATTAAACTAATATTGGTATACTCACTGCATTTCAGTTATCTAATAATATCATTTGCTTTCAGGATGATGATATTTATCTGACAATCACAAATGATAATGAATGACAGCTGTATGAACTTAATATAAATATTTTATTAATTTGTAGTTTGTAATTTGTAATTTGCATGTTTAATTGTTTTTATTATTTTTACTCTTAGTTTGTATTTTTCATTGTTTTGGTTATTTTTATTACCTATTCATTTGTATTTTTGATTATTTTGATTGTTTTTAATTTTAAATTATTCATAACTAATTGTTTTTAATATTATTATGTTACTTGTTAGATGACTCTCTTCTTACAATATCTAGTAAGACATTGTATGTAACTT